CCCGTGTATCTTCTTTTTTATCTGTTGTCTTCTAAAAAAATAAGAAAAATGACAGCACCTCAAAATCCAATCGCTAGAGCCATTTGGGATGGTGCCTTGCCAATTAAATTTTCTTTAGATACTGACGAGGCTGAAGCATTAGGCGTAGAAACGATTGAACCTTATTTTGTAAGTTTTTCAAACTTTCGGGTTTAGCAATCTTTCATTTTCATTCTCATCATTCATTCTCATCATTTAATTGTGATAGATAGAAGCACCTCGTTGTTCGTATTTCCCACTATTAACAAGTGTAATAAGAAAATACTTTCGTGATATGGCGATGAATTTTATTGTTGATGATGCAGAAATATGGTATGATGTTGATGGAACACCTTTGAAATGGTAAGTGTGTGTATGTGTGTATATATATATTGCCACTATTTACTTCTCTCGTCATCATCATCATCATCATCAACATCACCATAATTGATAATTAATAATAATGATGATGATGATAATTAATAAAAAGGCATTATCCAATTGGACTACTATTCGATTTACATACAGGATATAGACCAGATTCAAATAGTCCTCCGCCATTACCTTGGTCTGTAACTGTTCATTTTAAAGACTTTCCTGCAGATAAATTAATAAGAGCTCAGGCTATTGATGCTACTCAAGATTTTTTCATGTCTATGATTAAAGAAGTAGGGGTTTTTAAAATTTAAATAAATCAATTATTAATTGTTAATTATTAATCGATAATTCGAAAATAATATTAAATAATAATGTTGTTGTTGTTTCCAGGCAGATTTTCTTAGAAATGGCACAACAAAAAAAGTAATGAACTTATCAAAAAATGACCAAACACAGCTTTGGGATGGATTATGGTCTAGTATCCTTTTTATTTTATTTTTATACAATACAGAAATATTATATGAAATTATTATCTTTAACTACTATGACACCACCACCATACTCCTGATTTTCCACCTTTTATTAATGTAAAAAGAGGATTATGATAAATTTTGGAGCGTGAATTATCGTTTAGTGATTAATGATGGCCAAGTTCCAAGACATATTCCACTTCGAATATATTTACCTGATAATTGTCCAGTAATACAAGAAGCAATATCTCCTTTAAACGAAGATGGTATATTTGATAATAATAAAATTTTTTTTTTACTCAATTCACATATTATTATCTCCATGTCATTAATCAAAAATAACTTCAATTCACACATACATACATAAATATATAGGTCATCAACTTACGCTTGGAAATGTATTACACCATATCCTTCCGGACTTTTTTCCATCATCACAACCTTTATCAAATGAGAGTTCTTTTGCTGCACCTGTTATTCATGGTATAATCCCACAATTAGATATTCCGATAGTATGGGCTTCTCAAAATCTTTGTTATCCTGATAATTTCTTACATATTGTAGTTTTGTTAGGACTATAAAATTATATTACATCATACAATTATAATTGTTTAATATTAATAATGATTGCATTATTAATATTAATTACTAGAATACAATATTTTTTTGGTAATTAAAAATTTTTTTAAAAAATAAAATTGTATAACTATATTTATTTATTTGCAAAAATAATAATTAATAACATGTATCACAATATTTTTATAGATTAAAGATTGTTTTAAGGATTTCTAATTCATCCACTTCTTTTAATAATTCATCATTTTCTTTAGCAGAAGGATTTTCTTCAATTTTTCTTTTTTTATAATTATTATTATCTTCATCTTCATTTACTTGTATTCTTTTCAATTTAATTTGTTCAACAATTTTTGATGCTCTGTTACGAATAAATTCTTCTCGTTCATCTTCAATTTTAATATATAAATTATAGTTTTTACGATTGTTATTATCATCATTGCCATTATTAGTGTGTTCATATAATCTACTAAGATTGTTTTTTAATTTAATTATTTGATTTTGAATATTTTGAAATGTATCTGTTACAGGAAAAACTATTTATTATGTTTTTATATTAGTACTTTATACTTGATATTTTTAATGATGATGATAATATCTTTTAAATGAAATACCATTATGATCTTTTTCCAACTTAGTAAAAAGTGTTGATCCTTTTAAACAATTATCAAAACAAACGGCATATGATTTGGTTTTTTCTAATTCATCAATTTGTTGTTTTAAATATTTTATAATATTTATTATCAAGAGACCATTTGATAATTTGTCACTAAATGAGCTAGACCAAAATTCAATAATATTGTGAACTTCTTTAACATCCATACATATATCTGTATGCTAATTCAATGTGAAGCTTAGGGAGTATTGTTTGAGAATCAGGTCTTGCACTTTCATTGCAAGACCTAAATTACCACTCTGGTAGTACATGATGATTTTTGACTAACTGGGATTTATAATCCTAATCTGCAACATTTACTGATATATAATTTATATTGATCTTTTGAGCCTCTCAAGCACATTTATACTAGATCATTAAATTATTGCTGAATTAGGCTGTATTCGCAGTAGTGTTGGTCGCCAAAACTATTTTGAAGAGGTGAAAGTCAAAACTAAAATTAAAAGTTATATGTCAAAACTAAATCAAAAGTCAATAGTCAAAAATCAAAACTAGTTTCGACTTATGGCGAAACCTTTTGACTTTCGCACGGTTGCGAAACTCTCGAGTTTTGGAAACCAACACTAATAGATAGATGATAAAATATAAAATGAGATAAAAATAAAATCTTAAACAATGTATGTAAATGCTTGAATATAAAAATTCCACAATAAAAATGATGGTAACTTTGATCACAAAGAAGATTTAATTTAAAACATATGATTAATTGTTAAAAATTTTTCAATAATAATAAAAGGTGTTTGCTTCACCATGTAGCACTTCCTAAAGATTAGATGAAATTTTCAATAATCAGATCTGATAAATTAAATTTATTTACAAATCTAATTCAATTTGTTTAGAATCTGGAATAGTTAATTTATAATTTAAAATATCATTAATAATAAATAAATATGATTAAATATGTAACAATAAATTATATGATTACCATTCTTGTTGCTAATAATTATAACTTTATTGGAATTTACAGGTCGAGAAAGATTTGTAAAATTTAATAATCTACTTGTATAAACTGCATTTGGATGAACAGTTGCTGTAATTGTTGAAGGGTTGAAAGGTTTTTGATCTGCTTCCTCAAATATTTTTCTTATTTCTTTTAATTTATAATAATTAAGTTTGTGTTTTAGGATTTCATTGATAACAATTGTACAAGAGTATACATCTGCATCTCTGTAGTGAATCATGTAAATCATGCAACGAAATATGGAATAAATGATCATATAGACTAACTCCCTATCAATCAACTTACAAATATAAAAAAATATGAAAAGTACAGAACAAAAAAGAATAGTGTACAGAATTGAAAGTTCTAAAAAATCTACACCGACTGCAATTGTATTAACTGCATCTTTCCAAAAAGTAATAGTTTTTAAAATTTCATCTGCAGTTGGTCTTTTGGAAGGATCAGCATCCATGCATTTGTATGCTAACTTAATATAACATTCTGGAGTATTATCTGAAAAACTAGGCCTTAAGC